CGGTATATTGTTTTTTTTCCATTATCACTGTGGCTCCTCCTTTGTCCACCTGAAGGACTAATTGTCTATTTTTTCCATGGATTTGCGTATCCCGACAAATCTATTCCTGTGTGTAGGCTCCTGATGTGTCAAGATCTTTGGAATTAGTTGCATCTCCATTTCCTGATTTTTCTCCTTAGGGAACTTGTCGGTGTTTCAAGATCTTGAATAAAAATGGAGTTCTTTTTCCAGGAACGCAGTTGTTTCGTGATTGAGAGGAATTGATGCTAAGTTTAGTAATTTATTTATATCATCGTGCTGATCAGTAGGTAATGTTGCATCGGAAGACACTTCAACTGGGCGTACTGGCTTTAACATAGGCTGTCTTATAATCCCAAACTTAAGCAATTTATCATCATGTCGTTTTGTTTTTAAGTCAGAAATCCTACGTGATTTCCTGTTATTCATGCTCTAAAGTTTTTAAAAATCTTCCTGAGACAGGATCCTGACCAAATCACACAGGAGCTTTGATTAATATCTATAAATTTAAACAACTTATTCTATTCTGTATTCTAGATTTCACTTAGTTTCTGAATAGAAGCCTGATGAACATACTTATTAACCTTATCCGAGTGGTAGGGTCGGCGTTATGGCAAAAATGTACTCAAAATCCACTTGAGATGCGGCATGCGACCAGAGATCGGCGTCGAAAGTTTGCTCAGTTAACATGTGTTTAATAAAGGAGAGGACGCGTGAAGGGAAGGTTTGATATCTGCAAGCATGGCAATCAGAGCTTAAGCGCTTTGCCCAGTAAAGCGACAGTGTACGTTCTTGTAGGACCTTGAGAAATAGCACCTTGAGTGAAATGCACACTGCGACTGAACCGAGTGAAATCGGTCAACCAGAAAGATAAGGAACGGATCAACAAGACAATGAGGGGATCCGGATTGGAGGCCCGAGTCGGATCAGCCGATTGAAAGAGAGGGGGTCGGGGTGAGTAGCAAGTGTGATGAGGCCACATTAGATTTGCCACAAAAGGGTACACATTTTGACGAGTGGAATGTAAACAAGTGAGAAGTTGTGATAGGGTGGCAGTAGGATAAGAGGGTAAAGAGTAGATAGATAGGCCAGAGGAGAAAGAGGAGGGATAGTGTAACCGTTGTCGAGGGATTGACTTCACTTGCCTCTTTGACGAGTTCGTAGCTTGGTGCGGAGAATGGCAAAACTCACTGATGATGTCGACCACGATGCCGGCGAGACGTTTTTAGCATTTACCAAGTTCATTGTCTGATGTTATGAATCATGAAAACTACTATGGCAGACGACTTCGGTCTAGGTGCGTTCTACTAAGTCGCCCTGTCAACAAAACAAAGTTTCGACAACGAGGTCAAACCACTTCTATAAATTGTAAGGAGTTTGCGGCCATATCAGAGGCCACAGCATCTTGGTCTTCATATCTTTAATAAAACTTATTTACTATCTATATTGTTAACATAGTTTTGCAAGTGAAATCTTTCTGTTTTTTTAGTTTAGTCTTAGTTACCTTCTAATCTATTACATTGTTTTGAATAACTTGGACCTATCTGCCCCTATCCTCATTTGTTACCCTTCAAAATAACAAGCAATTTACTCCTTAATCGACCTCATCAAGATCGGTTTACCCGAGAAGTTGTGCAGCCACTCCTCCCCTAAGCAGCTTCTCCTTGTCTGTAGAAATGCCGTACTCCTCCTTCTTTACCTGATGAAGCATGACAGATCCTCTGTTGACCCTAGCGTCTGTGTGCCCACGGTAGCTGAAATATTGCCGCCCTTGATTAGCTTGTTGAATACAATGCCTAATCTGATACCAATGGCCGAAAAATCTGCTCTAACGAGCGTTCGTCAGGCCAGAGATGATGCACGCGGAAAGTATGTCAGCACATCATCAGATAGTCAACCAGGAGATACAATTTCAATTGAAACGACACATTTGATTCTGACAGAAGACGAGAATGGAGATCAAGATAGACAGGAAGAGGAGGAAGAGGAATCGGAAGGAGATTGGAGGGGAGAGGAAGAGGAAGAGGAAGAAAAGGCGAATGCAGATGGCACAAGAATGGAGAGACTCAAGTCAATTGACGAATTCGGTGAGGTAGCGCACATTGTGACGTCTCGATCAGTTGCAACGGAAGGTCCAGTCATAGGAATGAAAGTGAAGCAGTCAGAGCTGGTAAATGAGCAGCGAGGCATGTTGAGGACACAAATTGGCAGACGAGACGTAAAACAGGTATCAAATTTACGTCAGAATGAACTGCACCGAATGACCGAAGAAGAAGCGGAGCAATGGTGGTCTCTCTGGCAGGCAGTTTTAGACTTATTGGTCGAGATTGCAAGAGTTAGTAATGCGGGCAAGACAAGCATTATTTATAATTATTTCGTTATTTTAGAATTAGATGTTACAATCTTGAAAGCTGGGTACCTAATAATTGCATGTTGAGGATTACGATTTAGGTCAATTTTATGGTTTCGAAAATATATATACATCAGACAAGAGAAAAGGGAAAAAATCACTCAAAATGAAGCAAATAATTTTTAATTTTTAAATAATCTCCAATTAAAGTTAAAGAAGAAGAGTTTCGAAAATCGATCACACCAGATAAGGAAGGTGTACTGCATCCGTTTGGCTTTAATATAACGTTCAGGTTGACGCAGTCCACGAGACGTCTTCCCTCGTTT